GGAGCTAGAATGAGGGAGGGGGCTCAGGGTTGGGGCAAGAGGTTTGGGTGTGGAGTGCTTACCTGGGCAGCTCCCATTTGGTGCGAGGGGTGCAGGTGGGAATGTTGGAGGGTGCAGGAGCTCCTGTTTGGTGCTCAGGGTAGGGGTGGGAATGTGGGGGGTGCAAGTGTCAGGATGTGGGGGTGTGTGGGGGGGTGCAGGGCTCAGGGCAGGAGGCTGGGGTGTGTGGGGGGGTGCAGGGATCAGGGCAGAGGGCTGGGTGTGTGTGTGGGGGTGCAGGGCTCAGGGCAAGGGGCTGGGGTGTGCAGGGGGATGTAAGGTGCAGGGATCAGGGCAGAGGGCTGGGGTGTGGGGGGGGTGCAGGGGTCAGGGCAGAGGGCTGGATGTGGGGGAGGGAGCAGGGGTCAGGGCAGGGGGCTGGGATGTGCGGGGGGATGTAAGGTGCAGGGATCAGGGCAGAGGGCTGGCTGTGTGTGGGGGGGAGCAGGGGTCAGGGCAGAGGGCTGGGTGTGTGTAGGGGGGATCTAAAGTGCGGGGGTCAGGGCAGAGGGCTGGCTGTGTGTGGGGGGTGCAGGGCTCAGGGCAGGGGGCTGGGATGTGCAGGGAGATGTAAGGTGCAGGGATCAGGGCAGAGGGCGGGAGTGTGTGGGGGGGTGCAGGGATCAGGGCAGAGGGCGGGAGTGTGGGGGGGTGCAGGGGTCAGGGCAGAGGGCTGGGTGTGTGGGGGGGTGCAGGGGTCAGGGCAGAGGGCTGGGGGTGTGTGAGGGGGGTGCAGGGCTCAGGGCAGGGGGCTGGGATGTGCGGGGGGATGTAAGGTGCAGGGATCAGGGCAGAGGGCTGGCTGTGTGTGGGGGGGAGCAGGGGTCAGGGCAGAGGGCTGGGTGTGTGTAGGGGGGATCTAAAGTGCAGGGGTCAGGGCAGAGGGCTGGCTGTGTGTGTGGGGGTGCAGGGCTCAGGGCAGAGGGCTGGGATGTGCGGGGGGATGTAAGGTGCAGGGTTCAGGGCAGAGGGCTGGGGTGTGGGGGGGATGTAAGGGTCAGGGCAGAGGGCTGGGAGGGTGGGCTGGGGTCATGGAGGTGCTCCCAGCCCCCTGCCCAGAGCAGCTCACGGCAGGGGGCTGGAGGGGATATGCCCTGATTCCACCCCCCTTCCCCAAGGCCCCGTCCCCACCTCGTCTCCGCTTCCTCCCCAGAGCAGCCAGTGCCCGGTGCTCCGCTTCTCCCTCTCCCGCACAAGGGCCATCAGCTGATCGGGGGCAGGGGGGAGAGGAGGAGGGGCAGGCACCCAGCAGGGCAGGGGAAGAGGCGGGGAAAGGGGGAGAGGGGGAGGGGCAGGTACCCAGCAGGGCGGGGGAAGAGGTGGGGGAGGGGGAAGAGGGGGAGGGGCAGGCACCCAGCAGGGCGGGGGAAGAGGTGGGGGAGGGGGAAAGGGGGAGGGGCAGGCACCTAGCAGGGTGGGGGAAGAGGCGGGGGAGGGGGGAGCTTGTCTGCCCTGCAGCAGCAGCCGGCAGGACCAAGCTTCTTCACCCTGCCCCCGCGGGGGGGATGGAGAAGAGCGGGCCGGGGTGGGCAGGATTTTCAATGGCACGCTGCTGCCTGCCGGGGGCCCGGCCTGGGTTCGGCAGCGGGCTGAGCAGGGCCGGTGGCTGGGACCTGGCAGGCAGCAGCGTGCCATTAAACATCGGCTCGCGTGCCGTCTTTGGCTCGCGTGCCATAGGTTGCCGACCCCTGGGCTAGTCCGACCTCCTGCACAACGCAGGCCACAGAATCTCACCCACCCACTCCTGCGATGAACCTCTCTCCTATGTCTGAGCTATTGAAGTCCTCAAATCATGGGGGAGGGATAGCTCAGTGGTTTGAGCATTGGCCTGCTAAACCCAGGGTTCTGAGTTCAATCCTTGAGGGGGCCATTTAGGAATCTGGGGCAAAAATTGGGGTTTGAGCAGGGGGTTGGACTAGATGACCTCCTGAGGTCCCTTCCAAGCCTGATATATTGTTTAAAGACTTCAAGGTGCAGAGACTCCTCCAGCAAGTGACTCATGCCCCATGCTGAGGGGAAGGTGAAAAACCCTGGGTGAAAAACCCTGGGAGCCACAGTAAGCACTGCTGGGACCCCACGCCCTGAACCCGCCCCAGCCCAGAGCCCTCTCCCACACCCCAAACCCCCTGGCTCTGGCCCCACCCCAGAGCCCTCACACTCCAACCCCCTACCTGATCCCAGAGTCCCCTCCCATACCCAAACTCCCTCCTGGAGCCTACAACCAAACCCCTGCCCCAGCCCTCACCCCACTGCCCCAGCCCAGAGACCCCTCCTTCACCCCAAACCCCCCACCCCAGAGCCCTCATCCCCCACACCCTAATCCTCTGCCCTAGCCCTGAGCCCCCTCCCACAGCCCAGGAAGGAAGGAATGGCTGGCGGGGCGGCGGGAACTAGTACTAGGGAAACTAAGCCCAGGATGCTGATAAAATGCTAACGGAGCAGTTTGTTGCGGGGTGATGTGTGTTACGGAGGGTTATTGCACAGCGTGGAAAGCCTGCTCCTCCCGCGCCGGCCTGAGCCGTGTGGTGAGCTGAAAGTCAGGGGATGGGGGCCAGGATTTCAGATTCATTCATGACATGAATGGGAAGTGTGATACAGCATGACCAGAGGGCAGCAGGAGGGTGATCAAGGGGAGATATGTAAGCCCCAGGATGATGAGAGCCTTATTCCCTGTAGAGGGAAGAGAGGTTGCTATAGATTAATTAGAGCACCTAAAGCCAGTCACCTGATAAAAACCCTCTGCTTCAATCAGACAGCTGGAGGAGTTGAAGCAGAGGGGTTTGGTGTTGGAGCAAAGAGCAGTTTGGAGGGAAGTAGAGGAGAGTTTGGAGAAGTGCTGTGGTGGGCCAGAAAACCAAGACCCTAGGTAAAGGGAAACCCGGCTTGTGGAGAGTGGAGGGACTCCATAGACACAAGGGGTTGGGAGAAGCCTGGCCCAAGCAAAGGGAGGGCAGGAAGCCCTGTAAGCTAAAAGGCCGGAGAGGGAAGTAGCCCAGGGGAAGGAATTATTAGTTCAAGTGATTTGCCATTCTCTCTAGGGCCCCTGGGCTTGGACCTGGAGTAGAGGGCAAGCCCAGGTCCCTCCCTCTCCACTCCCCTTCTCTTGGATACTAGTGGGACAGTTAATACCCTAGATCAGGGGTGAGAAACAGTGCCCTGAACCCCGCCCCCCCAGAAGAAAAAGTGTGGGACCCATCATGGCAGTGCTGGCAATCTGCCACAGAAGCCCGTGGAGTTTGTGGTACCCTTGGTCTGATGTGCCCACCCAACCCACGCTGCATATGAGCTGGGTCCCAGTGGCAGGCTTTGTGTAGCAAGGTACAGTGGTCTGGCCTGGAGGCTGATAGAAAGACCTGTAACGCGCCAGCAGCCCTAGGTGTGGGAAGGTCCCAGTCTGGCCAGACAAGGATGGGTGCCAGGGTGAGGGAGGGAGGGAGAGTCTACTCCAACTCCCTTCTGGCAGCCAGAGACTGTCAGGGGGATCCATGTGTATCAGACACCTGAGCAGGGTGAGGGGCTGTGACATCCCAGCACTGCCCTACCCCTGCCCATTTGGATGCCCCATCCCAGCCTTTGCTACCGGGCTTTGGCTAGCAAGGTGAGCGCTCTAGCTGCTAGGTCTGTGTGTGTCTTGTGCAAGGTGGGAACGAGCAGGGGAACATAGTGGGGGGCACAAGGAGGAGAGATAGGAGATGTTGGAAAAGGAAAGTCAGTGAGGGAGGGAGGAGGCACAGGGTGAGAAAGAAGGGTGAGGAGAGGGGAGGTGGAAAAGGGATGAAGGCAATGCAGGGAAACCACACCATGCGTGGTCCAATGTGCTGGGCAGAAAGGGACTGAGCGTGTGTGTCTGGCCCTTGTATTCCTTGAAAAGGTGGGGGCCATGCAGGTATTTCCCCCTAGGTGTGGGGTGCATTGAGCAAGCTGGAGGGAAAGGGTGCTACTTGCCCTGTGTCCTGGCCCCCAGCACTCTGTAAACCAGAGAAGCCTGTGTCAGCTGCTAGCAGCCCCAGTGGATTGCCAGGGCAGAGGACAGTGACAGCCCCACCCTGAGCTCCCCACAGCAGCCAGGATGGGGGCTGACATTGTAGCTACAGGAGGATCCTGCTTTCCTCTGACACTGGGATGGTTCCCCCATGATGTAGCTCAAAGCAGCCGCCCTGGGCTTATGAACCCACTGCTCAGGGCCAGCTCCTTGGCACGGCAAGTGTCCTGGCAGTCCATGAGCGTAATTCCCCTTTGTACAGTGTCATCAGAGCCCTCCTAGGAGCCAGAGGAGGGGGCAGTTACAGTGGGGTGACCACGGGAGCAGGAGAGCTCAGTGAGGACCAGAAGCTTAGTGACGCTGAGGGGATGTGGTGGATTTGCTCCTTTTATCTGGACATGTGACTGGGCCCAGTCTGTACCATGATATCATGGTGATGGGGCACCACAGATACACACAGCATCCAGCAAACCCTGGCTAGGCCCAGTCTATGGACACTGCCAGTGAGCTTGGCTGCATCAGGACTTCCCCTTCCTCTGGCTGATGCTCCACAGGAGGAGTGGGTGCTGCTGTGCTCTGACTGATCCACACCAGTGTTAACACCAGTGGGCTAGCAGGGTGTGGCAGATCCCAGCTCCCACGGCAACTGGGAGAGCGTTGTCCACTGGCCAAGAGGGTGACTCACATGCAATGGGCGGAGCTCCCTGCACCATTATACGTGAGGGGTCTTGGCCACCAGGCCAGCCAGTGATCGGGGAACTGTTCACAAGAGCTCCTTGGAGGCCTTGGCTTGCTTTGCCTTCCAGCAGACCCTGTGCTTCACAGGCTGGAGCGCGTCCTGTCTGCTCCACCGACGCAAAACAGATCTGGCCTGTAGTGTTTGTATGTATGCTCCACAGCTGTGTGGAGCTGAGCAGGGGCTTCTGGGAGAGCCCAAGCTATCCTCCACCTGATTATTGCCATTCTGTGTTCATTGCAGCTGGCAGGACCACGACCAGCGAGGAGCTGGAAGACATGCTGGAGAGCGGGAATCCAGCCATCTTCTCCTCTGGGGTAAGTGCTCGGTGACTTCTCCCTCTCAAACCCAAGCTTAAACCTCAGCCCTCAGTTTAGCTAGGAGGATGGTTCTGACAACAGCACCCAGCCCCAGCCTGCTGAGTGTGTGCACCAGGCCCTGCCCACCCTGTGCAGCCGGCTGGACCCCATTCACTGGCCAGGGTTGCTGTCAGCATGGTTGGATTGTGTCTGCAGCAGCTTTCTTCACAGCATGAGCACGTTGCAAGGGAGCTGCTGAGTCTGCACCCACCACACTGCCTAACTCCGCGTGTTATCAGAGCATGCAGGGAAAATCTGGGCACCTCTGCCATAGTACTGCAGCAGGGACAAGGTGCCAGGGAACGCTCCCCCACAGCAACATGTGGGACAATGCACACCAGGGTGACCTACGGCACCCGGACTGGGAGGAAGGGGCACTGGCTAGCTAAGGCATGGTTGGCAGGTCCTGTCTGCCCTGTAGCACCAGCGTTACGACCAGGGAGACAGCCCTGTGTTAGTCCAGGCTTCTAGCAGTGATGAAATGGCCGCCAAGTATTAACCTGCCTGCAGCAGGTGTGCAGAGCACATCCTGCCTCCCCTCTGCCCCTCCATGCCCACGCACCACTCCAAGCCTCATTGCAGCAGCCTCTTCCCAGCCTTGAACTCATGGCCATGTCTATGCAGGCACTACGTGCTGCTCTGCTTGTTACGGCAGGCCAGTGTTGCCCCAGCTGGCCAATACACTCCAGCACTGCCTTCCTTGTGTGCCCTCCACAAACCAGCCCTCCAGGCGCAGTGGAGGAAGTCTGATTTTTTTTTTCCCCCTTTGTCCCTCCCTGCTGCTGAGGTATTTCTCTGGCACCTGGGCAGAGGCAGCTAGCAAAGCCTACCCTCCTGCTCGTCCCCCCCACTGCTCCGAGGCCCCCCGGAAAGCTCTCCAGACCTGCAAGCAGCTGGGCATCCTGGAAGCAATGACTGACCAACGCTCCTGTAAATTGCATGAGCCAGCCCCTTGATCTGGGCTGCTGCTCCAGTCCCTGGGAGTCACCTGATGCCTACTGAGAAGTCAGGGTTTAAGATACTGGTGTGGATTTTCTCTGCAGCTCCCACATGGAGCCCAGGGATGCAAATATCGCTGAGGAGAGCCCTGGATTTACACTCCCCACGTGCAAGCGATTGATGCCAGCACTGACTGTTCTGGTCACTGGCATAGGATCAGCACCAGGAAAGTGCTCCCTCCATAGTCTCTCTGGCTCCAGCCCTGCTGGGTCACTAGATAGCAACTTACAGTCCCGTCATTGTTACTACTGCCCTTCTTCAGTCCCACTAGCAGCCAGCATCCCGAGCTGCTAGAGCTGCAGCTCCTTGCTCTGCATTGTCTGGAAGCCAGGATTCAGGGGGCAGGAAATTGAAACAGCCGAGCCACAAGCAAAGTGAGGGAAAAGGCAAGTGTTGGGCCAAGGACGTGATTTCAGAGTTCTCAGTCTCAACCCCTGCTCAGACTAGAGACAGAGGCAATTCACCAGTGAAAAGAAAAGGAGGACTTGTGGCACCTTAGAGACTAACCAATTTATTTGAGCATGAGCTTTCGTGAGCTACAGCTCACTTCATCAGATGCATACCGTGGAAACTGCAGCAGACTTTATATACACACAGAGAATATGAAACAATACCTCCTCCCACCCCACTGTCCTGCTGGTAATAGCTTATCTAAAGTGATCATCAAGTTGGGCCATTTCCAGCACAAATCCAGGTTTTCTGACCCTCCACCCTCCCACACAAATTCACTCTCCTGCTGGTGATAGCCCATCCAAAGTGACAACTCTTTACACAATGTGCATGATAATCAAGTTGGGCCATTTCCTGCACAAATCCAGGTTCTCTCACCCCCCTCCCAAAAACCACACACACAAACTCACTATCCTGCTGGTAATAGCTCATCCAAAATGACCATTCTCCCTACAATGTGCATGATAATCAAGGTGGGCCATTTCCAGCACAAATCCAGGTTTTCTCACATCCCCCCCACCCCCATACACACACAAACTCACTCTCCTGCTGGTAATAGCTCATCCAAACTGACAACTCTCCAAGTTTAAATCCAAGTTAAACCAGAACATCGGGGGGGGGCGAGTAGGAAAAAACAAGAGGAAATAGGCTACCTTGCATAATGACTTAGCCACTCCCAGTCTCTATTTAAGCCTATTTAAGCCACTAGCCGTCACCTTCAGCCCCCAACTAAAACCCCTCCAACGCATTATTAAGTTTTGCATTATAATAATATTAATAATATTAATAAAACTTAATAATAAGTTTGCATTATAATAATAGGTTGTATTATTGATACAACCTATCCTAAAGGATGACCCAACACTCTCACAAGTCTTGGGAGACAGGCCAGTCCTTGCCTACAGACAGCCCCGCAACCTGAAGCAAATACTCACCAACAACCACATACCACACAACAGAACCACTAACCCAGGAACTTATCCTTGCAACAAAGCCCGTTGCCAATTGTGCCCACATATCTATTCAGGGGACACCATCACAGGGCCTAATAACATCAGCCACACTATCAGAGGCTCGTACACCTGCACATCCACCAATGTGATATATGCCATCATGTGCCAGCAATGCCCCTCTGCCATGTACATTGGTCAAACTGGACAGTCTCTACGTAAAAGAATAAATGGACACAAATCAGATGTCAAGAATTATAACATTCATAAACCAGTCGGAGAACACTTCAATCTCTCTGGTCACGCAATCACAGACATGAAGGTCGCTATCTTAAAACAAAAAAACTTCAAATCCAGACTCCAGCGAGAAACTGCTGAATTGGAATTCATTTGCAAATTGGATACTATTAATTTAGGCTTAAATAGAGACTGGGAGTGGCTAAGTCATTATGCAAGGTAGCCTATTTCCTCTTGTTTTTTCCTACTCACCCCCCCCCCCCCCGATGTTCTGGTTTAACTTGGATTTAAACTTGGAGAGTTGTCAGTTTGGATGAGCTATTACCAGCAGGAGAGTGAGTTTGTGTGTGTATGGGGGTGGGGGGGATGTGAGAAAACCTGGATTTGTGCTGGAAATGGCCCACCTTGATTATCATGCACATTGTAGGGAGAATGGTCATTTTGGATGAGCTATTACCAGCAGGATAGTGAGTTTGTGTGTGTGGTTTTTGGGAGGGGGGTGAGAGAACCTGGATTTGTGCAGGAAATGGCCCAACTTGATTATCATGCACATTGTGTAAAGAGTTGTCACTTTGGATGGGCTATCACCAGCAGGAGAGTGAATTTGTGTGGGGGGGTGGAGGGTGAGAAAACCTGGATTTGTGCTGGAAATGGCCCAACCTGATGATCACTTTAGATAAGCTATTACCAGCAGGACAGTGGGGTGGGAGGAGGTATTGTTTCATATTCTCTGTGTGTATATAAAGTCTGCTGCAGTTTCCACGGTATGCATCCGATGAAGTGAGCTGTAGCTCACGAAAGCTCATGCTCAAATAAATTGGTTAGTCTCTAAGGTGCCACAAGTCCTCCTTTTCTTTTTGCGAATACAGACTAACACGGCTGTTACTCTGAAAAAAATTCACCAGTGGACACTCCCCGGCTGCATCAGGCAGGGGCTTCATGAGACCATAGACCAGAGGTGGGCAAATGACGAGCCACATCTGGCCCATGGGACCCTCCTGCCTGGCCCCTGAGCTCCTGGCCTGGGAGGCTAGTCCCCAGCCCCTCCCCTGCTATTCCCCCTCCCCCACAGCCTCAGCTCACTGCGCCATGCTCTGACACGGTGCTCTGTGCTGCGCAGTGTGTGGCTGGCTCCAGCGGGGCAGCACGGCTGGAGCACCGCCAGCCCCCAGTGCTCCCGGCAGCACGGTAAGAGGGCAGGGGAGGTTGGATTGAGGGCAGGGAGGTGGATAGGGGTCGGGGCGGCCAGGGAATAGTCAGGAAGGAGTGGGGGTTGGATGGGGTAGCAGGGGGCAGTCAGGGGACAGGGAGAAGGGGTGGTTGGATGGGGCAGGGATCCCGGGGTGGGAGGGGGCTGGGGAGCGGATAGGGGGCAGGGCTGGGCCACGCCTGGCTGTTTGGGGAGGCACAGCCTCCCCTAACTGGCCCTCCATACAATTTCCAAAACCTAGTTTAGCCCTCAGGCCAAAAAGTTTGCCCACCCTTGCTAGAGACCTTAAATTCTCTCTGTTTCTATGGTCCAGCTGTGCTTTCAAAGGCTAATCCCAGGCTGAGCCTGCAAAATCCCTCTTCACTGCCCGTGCTGCACAGGGTGAGGAAAATGCAGCAGCCGCCCAGACCTCGTCCAGCGAAGCGATGGCCGTGAAGAGAGGCAGGAAAAGCAGCCTGGGGAGCAGAGCCTCTTGCACATGCATTGCCCCCCATGGTTGGGTTCGCCCTGCTCCAGCCAGCAGCGGTCAGGGGCAACACCCTGCCCTGGCGCAGGCATGGACCATGGGGCTGCGCTGAGTGTCTGCGCGGTAAAGGGACGGGATTGGCAGTGCCCTGGGGCCTGCGTTAGCCCCAGGCAGGATTGAAGCACCAGCACTGGCAATGGTCTGGTGCAGGACTGAGGGAGGGCAGAGACCAGCACACTCCTGGGCCTCCTTGCCAAGCCAGACTGGAGCCAGGGCTGTAGAGGGGCACAGGCTATTGCCCTGAGACCCCCATCGTTTCACACAGGCACTGAGCAGCATTAGAAGAGGACAGCTTCCAGCCACTGCTAGTCTGGGCTGTCCTTGGCCTGGAGGGGAGAGGCTCCAGCGCTGGATCCCAGAGCCAAGCAGGCCCCTGGCTAACCAGAGCCAGGGCGGCTGCATGGCAGAATACCCCATTTCCCAGCTGAGCTGCACCCCTAGAGTGGGCAGGTCCATGCACTTCAGCAGGGCACTTCCCTGGGTGCTCCCTGCTCTGTGTGGCATGGGATGCCGTGTGAACAGAAACTCCCAGACCTCTCACCCAGCCCGTGAGGCAGGCAGGGATACAAGGGGATGTGCCCAGCCTGGAGGAGGCCTGCTGGCCCCAACGCTCTCCTAGCTATTCTCAGACAGGTGCAATCATACAGACAGGCTGGCATGGTTCTACACCCCACATACCATCCACTAGCAGCCACTGGGAGGAAGCCCCCAGTCTTCAGCTCCCCGCAGGGAAAGGATTGGGAGCTGCACTCTGAGCAGGGGCAGAGGGGGTCAGTCTCTGTCATGGGAGCAGCTTGAGAGCCTCAGGGGGAAGTGCATCCAGCTGCATGCTGCAGGACAGCGTCACAAAGTCCCAGCATCGCGCACGGCCCCAGCCCCACAATGACACCTACTTGTGTCTGGTTATGGGAGCCAACTCTAGCCCTGACCGTCCACGTGCCCTAGGCTACGTGTGATCTCTGGGCACAGTCACTGCCATAACACCTGAATGCGGATAGTACCTGTGGCAGCGTGAGACTCACCCTACAGTGCCTCCTGCTGGTCGTCCAGGGAATTAGGATTTTCAGCCTCTGGAGCACCCTCTGCAGACTGGTGTCCCACTTGCTGCTGGGCCCCCCCAAGTCCCTCCCAGACCCCAATGCCCCTTTTACACCAGGGTCCTGCCCTCTGGCAATACCCCCACATATCTGGGTCTACCCTCCCCAGGGAACCCCAACCCCCTATCCCCACCTCACTTCAGTATATGGCTACTGCCAGTCACCACCTAGCCCGCGTTAACTGGGGCAGGAAGCAGTGTACAAGCCGCTCATCACAGGCAAGGGGGGTTTGGCCCTGCTGCCTCCGCCTAGCCTTGGTCTGCCCTGTTGCAACCCCAGTCCCCTGTCTTAAGTCATCTGCGAGGCCTGCAGCCTGGGGCTTTTCAAGCCTGGGGCCTCCCAGCTCCTCTGGCTTTCCCCAGCCCAGCTTCACCGCATGTGCCCTGGTACACTCCCCAGCAGCCAGGACCGTCTCTCTCTGCAGCTAGAGGAGACTCTGGCTGAGTGTCTGGCTCCCAGCCCTTTTATAAGGGCCAGCTGTGGTCTGTTTGGGGCATGGCCCCAGCTGTGCCTACTTCCCCAGTCAGCCTGGAAGCTACTTGCTCCCCAGCCACAGCCCTCTCCTGGGCTGTTTTAAGTCCCTCTGGGCAGGAGTGGGTGACCACCCTGCTACACCCCCCCCCCCCAAAAAAACAACCCTGACCCTTGGGGATAGGGGGAGTCTTGGCCCTACTACCCAACCCTAGTGTCTCTGCACCTGCCTTTGCACCTTGACAGGCCTTTAGAAAACATGGCTAAGGAACCTCCCTAGGCTAGTGCCCTGGGAATGGTGCATGGTGCCTGCACCCAGGAGGGCACTCCCTGCTGGCTGAGCTACCCACCAGGAATGGTCCCCGTCTCTCATTCTCCTGGCAGATCATCATGGATTCCAACATCACCAAGCAGGCACTGAATGAGATCGAGACGCGCCACAGCGAGATCATCAAGCTGGAGAACAGCATCCGAGAGCTGCATGACATGTTCATGGACATGGCCATGCTGGTGGAGAGCCAGGTCGGTGGGGGCAGGGGACATGCCCGCTCCTTGATGCTGCAGCTTCTGCTGGGCCCTAGGACCCCTGCCAGGTGCAGCAGCAGAGACAGATCCTGTCTGTTCCAAGGGAGGCCAGTGGGGCCATGTGCACAACTTTCCTCCCTGCTTTGATCTGGACCCATGCACCCTGGCAGGGAGTACGTGACCCACGTCCAGCCCTGCTGCAATCAGGCACCTGCCACTGACTTCTACAGAGGCTCAGCTTCTGCCCCAGGGCTGGAATTGGTCCCTTCTCTTCCAGGTGGCCATGTGGTCATTTTCTGGGGGCACAGGAGAGTTGATGCTGGCACCCCCTCCACCACTGTCCGAATGATCCCTGTGCTAGCAGGTCCCAGCAGGGCCCTGGGGGCTGTGAGGCAGGGGAGGGGATGTAGAAGAGGGGAATGGGAGGACCTTAGAATCATAGAATATCAGGGTTGGAAGGGACCTCAGGAGGTCATCTAGTCCAACCCCCTGCTCAAAGCAGGACCGATCCCCAATTTTTGCCTCAGATCCCTAAATGGGTTCCTCAAGGATTGAACTCACAACCCTTGGTTTAGTAGGCCGATGCTCAAACCACTGAGCTATCCATCCCTCCTTGGGGCACCAGATGCTGTGTATGGGTAGGGAGGTGGTGACCTCACAGAAGGGTCCAGGAACCTTCTGTAAATGGGTGTCTGACCCCATGGCTCTGGGCCCCAGGCTGGGCCCTGTGAACCCAGAGGGAGGTGACCACAGGGATAGGCCCCAGAGCATGCCCTCCTACAGGGGCTCACACTGTGCTCTCTGGGGCGGCAGGCAAACAAGCCCAGCCAGCTTCCTTGGGCAGTGAGCATGTAGCGCTAGGCCTGGGCTTCCTGGCAGAGCCCTGTGAACCCGGCCTGCTCTCGTGGGCCCCTTCCTGACCCCTCTTTTTGCCTGACATGCTGCCACCATCCCTTGGATGAGCGTGTCTCAGCCAGCAGGTAAAGTGCATGCCCTGGTGTGGGCCACACATCTGCATGCTCTCGTCTGCATGGCCTGTGCTTCCCGCATGTGCGTGTGATGCTCCCCAGCCCAGGGATCAGCAGTGAGGAGGGGCAGGGTCCCGGGAACGCTGGGCACCAGTCGCTCCAGCTCCTCTGGGATTGCAGTGGAGGCAGTGGAGAGTGAGGCTGGTCTGTCTGTGCACTTCAGTGTGGGTGGCAGGTGCCATTGCAGCCAGGCAGCTCCTGGAGAGAAAACCCCCAGAGAAGGAGCCTGGCCCCAGAGCCATGGAGCTGCAGGGCACTGGCCCCTTGGCAGCCTGCTCAGCCCTCCCTAGCTGTGTGGAACGTCTTAGAACTAGCAACCCGAGGGCTGCGAGCCGGCCCCCCAGCCTCTGCCTCTGGAGATGTTCCAGCGAGCCCCTTCTGCACTCCTCGCGGGCTGGCTCAGGGCTCTGACAGCGCGGGCGGCTAGTTCCGTCTCTGCCCTGCTGCTCCCCAGGGAGCCCCTCGTGGAGCGTGGGCTGTGCCCAGTCTGAGACGGCCTGTGGTCGGACACGGCTCCGTGCAGAGGGCTGGGCCTGGAGAGCAGCAGCCTTCTGCCCCCTGCTGGCACTGGCAGGCCTTGCAGGATCCAGGCTGACCCACCCCCTTGTTCCGGGGGAAGCATCACATGGTGCTGAGCTCTCACTGCTTTGATTGGGCATCAGGCCTGAGGGCAGAGCTCCCCAAGCACCTGGGGCCAGTTCCCAGCCATGTCCCCCACCCAGCGGGACCCGGCCCAGCTGGCACTGCCTTGGGCGTGTTACACCTGCCCCGGAGAGCAGCCAGGCCTCCAACGGGCTGCAGCTCACCCCGGCGGCCCACAGCCATTGCTGTGCAAGCCAGGCGCTCAAAATGAAGCCATGCCTGGTGTCTCGGGGGAGGTCCCAGCCCCCCACCACCCCAGTTGCAGGACTCTCCTGGATCTCCTACATACTGGGGGTCTGGCCCGCTGGCCTCATGACACCGCTTGGTGGCACAGCATGGAGGGCGCTGTATCGCCACACGAGGCCTGGCACACACCCCCATTGCCGAGGCTGCCTGCAGCACGCTCCATACACTGTCACTGCCTGGGGTAATGCCTTCTCAGTTACTACCCCTGTCCCCAGCTGGGGAAACCAAGGCAAGGAGGAGCTGAGTGGCTCGCCCAAGTGGAATGCAGGGCTTTTGGCTCCCTGGTCTTGCTGGACCACTAGTCATGCTGCCCCCCTTCGCTCTCTGATTGCCCCGCAGGTCACCCTGAGGGCAGTTGGGGCGCGGGGCCATGCTGGGATGGGGAGCAGGGAGCATTCCCAGCTCTTGGGATACGGGACACGTCTGGCTCTTGAATGGGACCGGTCCTGCCCCACATCCCATTGTGGGATGCCCTTGCCCCCTCAGTACCTGACCTCAGGTAGAGGGGTAGCTGTTAGCCCATTGGGATGGGGTGTTCCAGTGCGTGATGGGGGGGGCTGGATGGCTGGGACGGGGCTGGTATGGTGAGAAGGCAGGGAGGAGGGTATCCAGTGCTGGGGGGCAGAGGGGATGGCTTGGTGGGGAGGCAGGGGGGTATTCAGTGCTGGGGGGCTGACAGGTTGGTAGTTGGGAAGGAAGAGAGGGGGTATCCAGTAGTGGGGTGGGGGCTGAGGAGCTGGGATGGGGCAGGCATCGGGGGGGGGTTGGGTAAGGGGGTATCCAGTGCTGAGGGGCTGGTGTGGTTGGGAGGCTGGGGGGTATCTAGTGCTGGGGGTTGGAGGAGTTGGCGTGGTAGGGAGGGGGTATCCAGTGCTGGGGGGCTGATAGGTTGGTAGGTGAGAAGGCAGGGGATGGGGTGGGCATGGAGGTAGAATGGAGGGGGGTATCCAGTGCTGGGGGGGGCAGGGCTCGCTTAGACTGGCACGGTGGGCGGGGCAGGTAAGGGGGGTAACCTGTGCTGGGCGGGACTGAGGAGCTGGGATGGGGCTCATGTGGTGGGAAGGCAGGGAGGGGGTTATCCAGTGCCGGGGGTCTGAGGGGCTGGCGTGGTGGGGTGGCAGGCAGGGGGGTGTCCAATGCTGGTGTGGGATTGAGGGGCTGGGATGGGGCTGGCATGGTTGGGGGCAGGGAGGGTGGTATCCAGTGCTGAGGGGCTGGCATGGTGGGCAGGCAGGAGGGGGTATCTATTGCTGAGGGGCTGGTGGGGTGGGGTGGGGGGTGTCTAGTGCTGGGGATGTTGAGGGGCAGGGATGGGGGTGGCATGGTGGGAGGGGAAGGGAGTGCAGTATCCAGAGTGTGAAAGGTTTAGGGGAAGTGGCTCAGAAGTGTATTGAACCTACGCCCTGCAGACAGGTGCTGACCCTGTTGCTGTCATTCTCCCTGGTCCTTTCAGTCTGAGCCGTTAAATGGCTTCTGAGAGACTTCGCGTGGGCATGGAGCAGGGACCTTTCTGCTAGCCCTCACTTGGGGCTGCATCGGGGCCAGGCCGTCCCCTGGTTCCGCGGGCAGGGCCCTGGCTCCAGGGCAGGCTGAGCAATAGCAAGGCCCCTCTGTGCCCTGAGGGATAAGCTTGGGCAGGCGCTTGGTGTCTTGACTCCATGGGGGCGGGGTGGGGGCAGGGAGCACTGGGGGCTGCCTGCTGGCTGGGATGCCCTGCTCCTGCCCCACGCACAGCAGGGACAGCAGAGGTGCCCTGTCCTGAGCAAGTCTCTGGCTCCTTCCTCCCTCATGCACGGGTCACTTCTAATAGGACCTGCACCAAAAGCAGGGTAGGAGTCATCCTCCCCATCCAATTCTCTGGGGTTGGCACTGCACACCATATGCCAAGGCCCACGGGCAGGGTGATGGGGCTCTGCAGATGTTGGGGGGGCTCTGAGGATGTAGGAGGGGCTCCCTCTCCCATATAAAACACCATAGGCCCAAATGAATCCTGGACCAGCTTGTTCAGAGACAAGGAACAGGAGACCAGACAGGCTGGGCTAACAGGACACTGTAGTACCGCCCCACTGCACATACCATACTCCATACCCCCACTACACGCACCCCGTCCTTCCCCCAGACCCACATTGCACCCCCATTGCAGTCCCCCATCCTGCACCTCCTGCTCTAACTGCTGATGGAGGGCACAGGATTCCCAGCCGGGATCAGCCTGACCCAGGCTGGTTCCCTGTTACAGACAGGAATGGACCTTTGCCATGTCTCTCTTCTACCCTGCCCCACAACCCCCTCCCCCTCTCCGCAGGCCCTGCCTTCGCAGCCAGCAGAACCTCTCCCCGTCAGGGCAGGCCACACTCTGCTCTCGGCACCTTGCCAGCCTCATGGCTAAAGGGTGCCCAGAGCTCCAGTCCCAGAGACTGGGCTGTGGGTTTGCATGGTCCCAGCTGATGGTGCAGAGCACCCCCAGCAGGGGGGTTGGCTCCTTGTGGGTGTGCGTGGGGTGTGTGTGCATGGGGGGGGTTGTCCGTGCATGGCTGTAGCCTTTGTGTCTGTCTCTCTGTGCGGTGTCTGCTCTATGCAAGTGGGTGGCCATGACTGCTGGCCCTTCTTTCTTGGTAGAGTTGTGAGTCCTTGGTGACAAATGCCAAAAGTTTCCCTGGTAGTTTACCCTGACGTCCCAAAGCCCTACACCAACGGGCCAGTCCCGGACGGGGAAAGCAACCCCTCCAGCTCACCCATCTGGTCGCTTAGACCAAAGCAGGTATATCTGCCTACCCCGCTGAGCCGCACAGCCAGGAATTGATCAGTCCTCGTGCTGGCACTTGGCACAACACGGCCACTTGTCTGCCAAGAGACTGCCTCAGAGCACATCACTTGGGTAACAAACCATCTGGACATCCCATCCCGTGGACTGGCCACCGTAGGTTTCTGCAGCTGCCTGGCCACTGGGGGGAGCTGGAGTGTCCAGTGGGGCAAGGAGCTGGGAGTCCAAGGAAGCCAGCAGCTGCAGTGCAGACATCTCCATGCAGCAGCTGGGTCTGGGGACTCCAAAATGGCTTGGGCACTGAAGTCCTTCTCCCCCCAGCCCAGCGCCAGGCCCCCGAGTGAAGGGCAGGGCTCAGCAGGAGGCAGGTCAGAGAGTCTCACACTCTTGCGCTCTCTCTCCTGTGCAGGGGAGCAGTGGCCCTGGTGGAGCGGGAGGCCCCTGCGTTCACCTGCAGGCACTGCAGATGGTGCAGCATGAGAGCCGGCAGGTAAGGGGAGCAGCTGGGGGATGGCTGCCTGGAATTCATGTCTGTCTGTCTGTGTGTCCTCGCTGTCTGTCTGTCTCTGCGTGGTCTCTGGCTTGGCTGGCTGTCTCCCGTGCTGCGCAGGGCGAGATGATTGACCGCATTGAGTACAACGTTGAGCACTCTGTGGACTACGTGGAGCGGGCTGTGTCTGACACCAAAAAGGCTGTTAAGTACCAGAGCAAAGCCAGGCGGGTGAGTCGTGTGTGCGGCGGAGGCCAGTCTGGGCCTGCAGCCCCTCTCCGCTCTGCCCCAGGGGCTAGGGATGCGACGCCCACTGCCGGACAGCACATGCCAGGGCTCCTGCCATGGGGAGCGACCCATCAGCCCCTTGTCCCAGGGCTCCCCAGGGACCTGCTCCCCATAATCGGGCACGGGGTGCTCCAGCTGCCATGTGGCCAGGCCTGCCTGAATGTGGGCTGGGGAGTGCAGCGCCCCGGGAAGGCAGATGGCATGGGCTGGGGAGCAGACCCCAGCAGAGCATCTCGTCAGCAGCTATCGTTATCCCAAGTCATGGGCGGTGCTGAGAGCGGAGAAGGGCTCCAACTGGTGGCAGTCCATGCATCATCGCTCAGAGCAAGAAGGCGTTAGGGACATGCCCACACACTAGGCTGGGCCCAGGAAAGGAGCCAGGCTCCAGGGCTCAGCTCTGGAGAAGGCCTGGCCATGCCGTGACAGCTCCTGGGTAGGGACAATTTCCTTTCCTTCAGAATGGGCTGGAGCAGACCTGGGTCCAGCCTGTCCGACAGGTCAGGGACTCAAAGTGGAGAACCACATGCGGGGCCTGGCCAGAGCGCGCAGTGGGAGGGGGGGTGCCTGGCAGCTCCCAGGGCGAGCTGGCTGGGCATGGTGTGGTGGTGGTGGCGGGGAGGAGGATGGGCAGCTCCCAGGACACAGCCGGCTGGGCGTGGAGGTGGAGGGGGGGATGCGGCAGCTCACAGGGAGCAGCCAGTTGGGCGGGTAGGGGTGGACGTGGCAGCTGGGCGGGGAGAATTGGGCTCCGTCCCGCTCCCCACCTGGCTGCCAGGGAGAGCAGCTGAATGTGTGGGGGATGGGGGGAGGCGCAGGGGAAGGACAGGCCCTCCTCCATGCAGGTACCATGGGATGGGGAGGGGTCACTGGGCAAAGGAGATGTGGGGTGGTCATGTGCCCCCACCCTTTAGATTGTGTCCCCCACCCCCGGGATCGGGAGGCACGAGTCATCTGTGCCGGTGGGGAGTTGGGACTCGCAGCCCAAACAGGCAGGCCCGCGCTGTCTGCAATTGCCAGAACAAATAGCCCAGTTACACCCCAGCCCTACGGTACCACCACCGCCAGGGCTGTGGGCTTTGCCCCAGACCAGCTGGGATTTGTCACGGCATCAGAGCATCCGGTGGCTAGTCCAGGCTCCCTGCTCAGGTGGTGGCCACAGGCTGCTGCTCCAGAGCCTCCCGTGCCATGAGGGGGGTGGTCTTTGGTGACTCACAAGGACCCCATCTACCCAGAAGCATGAGCACAAGGAACACCCCAGAGAAGCCCTGGTGAGGTGCTGGAGGGCATTTCTAGCCCCTGGGACAATGTGTCCATCCTTCTCGGGGCAGCTTGGCTCCAGTCCTCATGGCACTGGCCCCTCAATGACCTCGCTTGGCCCCGAGCCCTTAGGCCTGAGCAGCCACAGACAGGGGCCAGGTTTGCAGCAGCCTAACGAGCAGGGAACGACTCCCACGCTGGGGGGGCAGAATGGGTTGGCTGGGGCTAGGCCTCTCCAAGCCTCAGGGCCACAGGGTGCATTCCCCTTCCCCTTCAAGGCAGTGGAGCGAGCAAGGCCCTCCTGAGAGCTACCAAGCAAACGGGCTGAGCCCACCCCCGGTGCTCTGCAGCCTGGGCCCAGCCCAGCGCTGCCCTGCAGGCATTTGCCCAGGGCAATGTATGTGCAAACGGAGCCCATCTCTGTCCCCCCTGTGCATGGCTTCACACTGAGGGAGCCCCCGCTGGGTCAGGAGGGCCCAAGGACCCTGGTTGGTCTGGCACTGACGTGCTCTCCAGGCAGGAGAGAACTTGCAGCAGTTCTGCCCCGGCGGCTGCGTTGTTGGAGGGGGTCTGAGCACTGGCCCCAGGCTGCAGAACAGGCTCTGTCCAGCTGGCGAGACAGAGGTGCTGGGGGACTCTGCTCTGCGGGCACTGTATCTGGCGGAGCCTGGGTCCCAGGCAGGCACAGCCCTGCATAGGGCGCTGGGAGGCGAAGGGGGTTGGCCTGGGTGCTGGGGTTTGGACTGTAACCTCTCCCCCTCTCTCCCCTGTCGGTGCTGTGGGGCGACCTGAGCAGAAGAAGATCATGATCATTATCTGCTGCGTGGTCCTGGGCATCGTCATTGCCTCCACCTTGGGCGGCATTTTCGGATAGATCTTGCCAAGGCGAAACTTTCTCTGTAGACAATGCGATGGAGCTGCCGAGCTGCCACGGCCCAGCTGCGCCCGAGGGGAGCCAAGCCCTGCAGCCGCCAGGGAGGGGCCCTCCCAGCAGAATTTCAGTTTCTAATGCATGATCGTTTTGTAACACTGTGTGTACGGTGTGGTGCGTCTGTGTGGCGAGGGGGCAGGCGGACAGTATCCGGGGCTGGGACGTGGCGGGGAGCTGGACCTGATGGAGGGCAGAGCACACGTGTGGCACTGAGCCTAAAGCAAGGCAGCTAACTGGTGCAGAGGGAGCCAGGCTGCCCTCGTGTAGTGAGGCTCCTAGCATGGTGCCAGGGGTAGGACAGCAAGTTGTGCCAATGGCACTGGGCGAGGGAGAGCAAGGGGCAGTGCTGTGTCCCCTGCAGAGCAGAAGAGAGCACTAGCCAGCCAGTCCCCACCCACCTTTGTAGCCTGGCACTGCCAGTGGGTGTTCACTGGCAGTCATAGCTCTTTCTCCCTCTGCTCTGCCAGGGCATTGCTGACAAAACGCCACACCCCTCAGCCTGCTCCCTGCAGTGCCTCCCTCCCCAGGGCACACCTGGCACTACACCTGCCCAGCTGCTGCTCCCTGAAGTGCCCCCTCCACCAGCCATACCTGGCACTGCACCCACCCCGCCTGCTCACCACAGTGCCCACCTCCACCAGCTGGCCCTGACCTCCCCTCGCTGGCTGTTTGGTGCAAGGCCCAGTCCCTGCTGCTGCCCCTTTCCCTCCCCTCTGGCTGGCTGCACGGGGTTCATTTCTCTTTGCTGCTGCACTGCTGTGGCTGGAGGGTGTTTTCTGCAAGGCTGGGCTGATGGGGCAGCTGTCCCGTGTGGTTGGCTGGGCCTGGTTCCATGGGGGGTGGGGGAATGTTGGGGTAGGGTGGCATGTGCTCTGCTGCACTGCCCCCCTGGCGAGCCTACGACCCTCTTGTGCTGATGCTTCCCAAGTGCTGGTGCAGGTTCCCTGGGGGGGGAACTGCACCCCTTTGGAATAGGCCCAAGGCATCAGCGTTCCCTGGCATGCTCCACGCCCGTTTGGCCTGGGGGAGATGGGCAGTGCCAAGCAGGCAGATGGCAAGGAGCTTGCTGGCCACTGCATGGGTCTGGAGCCACCTCTAGGGCTGGGCAGGAAGTGTCTGAATTGCCTGTGCCACTCACCCAGGTAAGGGGATGAGGCCAGAGCAGAGGCTCATGTTGTCCTGAGTGTGGGTTGCTGGGCAACCATTCCAGGGCTCGGACTCCTGCAGGCAGCTCTCAGCCCTGCCCCTAGGTTGGATTTCCCAGCCCCTCTCTCTGGGTCACCCAGGGCCCAGGCCTGGCTCCCCCGTCACCCCTCCCCTGCGACAGACCCAGGCTCTGTGCCCCAACTGCGCTTGGTTCCCCCAACCCTGCTGTGTCTGGCCAGTTGGGGATGGGCCTGGGCTGCACATGGGAGCCCTGCAGCCGTTCCCCAGGCTGAGGCCCCCACAGAGCAGCCCAGGTACCAGGCTCCTGCGCTGCCAATGGGCAGCTGACGTTCAGTGTTGTAAGCTCCATCTCTTCCAGCTCCCAAAGGGAGAGTGTTGCAGGGCTGGCTCTGTCCCTCCCCCATCCGGGGCACCCCCCCCTCACCCCAGCTGTAATGCAAGAGCCATACCAGCCCTCTGGCCTTCCGGGGGGGGGGTGCCTGACCTCACCCCCAGCTCATCAGCACTGAGCGCTCAAGGGACCAGTTTGCCAAGACACCCCTGGCTTCAGGGCACCACATCCCCCGTCCCCAGGGGCTGCAGTGAACGTGTGTGTGGTGGCAGCCTGCACACCTGCTGGAGGGAGCCCACAGTGAGAGCCTGGCCCCCTGACCCTTCCCAGCCCCCAGCCCTGCGAGCCCAGAGACACCTGGGAGCAAGAGCCCACCTGTGCTCACCTGCCTGGGGGTGGGTCTGCACCAAGGCCCTGTCTGCTCTGCCTGGATCCCCGCAGCGAGTGGGGAGGGCCCTGTGTGTGGCAGATCAGCAAGCAATAACAGGCTGCCACCATGACAGCTCTTGGTGAGCAAGGACGGGTGGTCACCCTTTCCAAAATGCAGCTGCTGGGGAGGCTGATCAGCTATTTCTTCCTAAACCCTCCTTGCAGGTGCAGAAGGCTCCACAGCACCTTTGCAGCCTTTAGGAGCAGGGCTAGAACACCGGCTGGGGTGAGCCAGACAGCCCTGCCCCACATCCTCAGGTGCAGGGTCTTGCACTCAGCACACCACCTTGCTGCCAGAACAGCTGAGCATGCAGGGGACAGGTACTGTGGGGGATAAGGCACCTGCCAACACATTTGCAAGAAACCAGCAATACAAAGGGGGCAGGTGAAATTGGGGGGACAGCAATACAGCAAGTGGGATTCTGCCAGCTAGGGCTCCCCTCCTAGCAGCTGCTCCGTGGGGAGCTGACATAACTAACCTGTGGGGCTGAGAAGCCTGCAGTAGGCAAGGCAAAGGGCATTCTCTAGGGGTTAGGGGCTATACTTTCACTGGAGGCAGTGGAGGGAAGGTGAATTGGTGCAACACTGCAATCCCTGCACCTTCAAGAGCCCTGGCCTGTCCCTCTCCCACCCATTGCACGAGTTGACGTGATTAGCCATGCTATGTTTGTGCGTGGGGAAGATGTTTTACATTTCCTTTGGAAACACGTCTTTTCTCAAGAAGCATCTGTCCTACATGCCCATAGGACTCCCAGCACCAGAGGCTTGACAGTATTTCAGGAGTAAGGGGGTGGGGCACATGTAGCTTTCACTCATACTGGGGATTTGTTTTTTAATTAATGTACTTGAAAGAGTTCAGAGCAACCCCTTGGCATTGTAACGTCACTGTACCGTGAGCTAAGTGTCCTTGTTTTCTATGTGGATCTTGAACCCAACTTGCTTTGTTCCAATGGCTAGAACAACATTGTATGTTGCTCCCTGTCTACATCCAGCTCCTGTCCCACCCCCAGCTTTGGGTGCAAAACAGCTTCCCAGTTAGTGGAATTTTTATGTAGAATAAACATTTGTAACCTTAAACCCAGCAGTGGGCTCCTCACTCTGTTGCGCCAGAGGGGAGGGATGAAGAGAAGGCGCCTCCATTGGCTGGCTGGCCCTGGCTGTGCTGCAGCCAGGAACAGAAGTGTTCCTCCAAGGGCCAGCTGAAGCCCTCATACAACAGCCCCCAACCACGAGTGCTGCAGAAGTGCTTCCTCCGGTCCACTGGGGGGTTTTCTCAGTGCTCACCGAGCATATGCCACAGGAGCAGAGTATGTAACCCTGAAGCAGCAAAGCAGAGGGCACAGCGCTGCACAAATACCAGGGAGGAGCAGCAGAGACCAGTGCTAGGTCCATCAGCCCTTGCTGTGCACAGAACCACCCCTTGAAAGATGACAGCTCTGCAGTACTCGTAACCAAGGGACTATTTACTGAGTAGGCTGGAAGCTCAGCAGGAAAGGTCCCCTCACCCAGGGCACTTTGCCCCAGTACCGGGGGCAGGCTGCCCACCAGTGTTTCTGACCCCCCTCCATTTGGCTCGGATAACAGATGGTGAAAAAAAGGGGGTCTGCAAGTGGCTGGCTCAGTGTCAGCACCCGGCACACAAAAATAGATGCAGTGAGTCTGCTCCCAACCAGTATCTTCCCATTCAATACGACCGGAAGCATCAAATGGGATCCTCGACAGCAGCAGAGACAGCCCAGCCTTCCACTGCAAGGGCCACAAACAAACCCACTTCGTACAAGCAGCTTTCAGACCGGGGGGTCCATCTAGGGAGGCTCGAGAGCTGCAGGGAAGTTCCACAGGGGCTGTTGCATGGCGACCACAGAACCGGAATACACGGGGCAGTCAGAAGCGAGGCCGCCGCTTTCGGCCAGTGTATCTTGTATCCGCCCTCACTTCCCTGCAGAACAGGGCACAGAACAGATTACGCTGTAGGGAGGGATGGGGGCTATAAGCGAATCAGGCCCCAAAGTCGGAAGCGCTGGAGCCCCCATGACAGCCAGAAGGGGGGTCGGCAGAAGCATAGAACAGACTTGCAGCAGGACAGAGGGCTGTGGCCATGCTGCCCAAAGGCAGGTAATGGCTACATTGAAAGTGAAGTGACGTCCTTGTTACCATGCCCTGAAACAACGGTGGCAGCCACTGTCTGCAAGGGAGACCCAGGTGGCCAGGTTACAGCCCATACAATGCCCGCTACTCTCTCTCTCCCACCCCCGGGAACCCGGGCAAAGGGAGGCACCATGGTACGTACTTGCCCTGCCGCCGTCTACGTTCCTTCTTCTCCAAGACCCAGTCCCGGCTTTTCTTTACAGACTTGCCCTTGGCATTTCTGAACCGTGTTCTATAGAGAAACAGAAATGATGGCGCTGATGGGGGTCCACGCAAGGAGGGTCAGTCAATCCGCTGCGTCTGGAGGGGTCTGGGATTCAGTTCCTAGTGCAGGGCAGCGAGCACTGGCCAATTATCCCCAGCCCCTCTTAGGCCAGCTAGGACAATGACACAGCCCAGGTGTGGGGGAGGCTGGGAGCTAAGGCAGCGAGCAGCGGCATGGGCAAGCAGCACTGGCCAAAGCAGGACGCAGATGCAGGCAAGAAAAATGCTGAAAAGTCCTCAATTGGGAGAGGAAGAGAGGTGTGGCCTGGCTGAGTGCTTTCTCCATGTGCTCTGCAGGAACACAGGCAGGCTGGCTATCAGCATCACAGGGGGGTAGAACACCCTACAAGAAAGCAGTCAGCCATCACCTCAGCTCAGATAGGGATGCACCTGGGGACTGCGCATCCCAGCATACAGGGCACCATCTTTACTGGAGCGGACTGTAGTCTGACAGCCAACTGCATGCTGGAACCAGGGGTCTCCATGGGACATAACCCCAGATTACAGGGGAGGCTGCTGCAATAGGGTCTTTTTTAAGCAAGTTGTCAGGACACTGCCTCAGTAATTCGGAGCCGTAAGCTGGGTACTGTTAAGGAGTGGAACAGTGTCAGAGGTAGGAAAACATGGCAGCCAACAGTTCCTGGCAACCACGACGACTATCCTCTGGCTGGTGCTCTCAGTCTCTCCTACCGGCTGCAAGGGGAGCTTTGCCCTGCACTGCCACATAGGGAGGAGACATGCAAACAGCACAGAAATGCACTGGGTATCCACAAGAGAGACAGCCTAACAGCTGAGAAGGGAGGGAATTTAGGGCTACACAAGGTAACTTACTGGCACAATTATGCCAGTATGACTGCCCATATGGACATTCTTATGCCAGTGAATGTCCCCATGCAGGCAAGCTCTGGGCCAGCCTGCCTGAATGGTTACCACCCACTGAACTCCAAGAATACTGGAGAAAGGACATCTTAAAAATCCAACAGCCCCACTCCACTTCATGCCCAAACGCTCACAACTCAGCCCCACCCCAGAATTCTCCCAGCCACGATCAGGCTGGATGATCTAAGGTATAAACAAGCAGAACAGATCCCTTCGGGCCATCTTCCGTGCCAAAAAGTAGCTAAATCTTCTGCTACTCCACAGTGGCCTAAACCATGCCAGCCCTGAGCTGGCTGACGGGAAATGGCTGGGTCAGGAAGGGCCAAGGCCAAGGCAATCCTGAAACTGAGCACTCAAAGCCAGAGCCATCCCACTGCAGGGTCCTGGCCCTCCAGCTCCCTGAGTCCAGTGTCAGGGACACCACCTCCCCGCTAGCCAGGCCCCCAGTGGCTCTCCCTCTCTCAGGGAGGAGCTTCGTGAACATGGTACCTTTCGCTGGTGAACTTGGCCTGCTGGGACTCCTCTCCATGAGCGCACTCAGCACCAAGAGCCTGGAAGCACAAAGCGATGGGCCTCAGTGCCACAAAGAGCAGCACCCTGCCACACCAGCCACGACCCCCGGACAGAAGGGGAAGGGGGCTCTGCAAGAGCGAGGACTGAACGGGGCCTGAGTCAGCAGGTTTCAGGGACAGGCTGTGTGCTAGGGAAGGAGCAAACTGATCTTCCAGTGCTTGAGGCAAAACCAGACCAGCCCGAGCTGGCTCAGTGGAAGTGCCAAGGCTGGGCAAGTGAGCAAGGCAATCTTGGTACTAATGGCACAGGGTTAGGCCCCCTCTCCCATAGTGCTTCTGGGAAGGGACCAGTGCACAACGGGTGGCTGCATCAGACTTCAGACACAAAGGTCACTGGAGCTGCACGATCCAGGGATGGCAGCCAGCCCCTCTGTGCAGATCCCTTTTCCAAAGGTTTGATTCTGAAGCCCAAGTCGGCCCCTGGCGGGACGATGTCACACAGCCCCCTGGAGCCCCTGGCCAGGCTCCTCCTGTTCAGGCTTCCTAGCAACCTCACCCACCAAAAGAGCATCCCTCAGCAGGAGACCCTGAGCACTTCGCCTCCTGCTCCCTCCCACTTTGCCAGCTGCGCCATTGCCTCTGAGCTGCAGCTCATTACCTTTGGTAACACACCAGCCATCCCAACAAAGAGACAGAGGAAGAACCTGAAAGAGAGAGAGATGAGATGAGATTCCTGGGCCTGAGATTTGGAGTCTGGAACTCTGAACACCCAGAGGCCTAGTCAAGAGCTTCCCACATAGCTTCCAGAAGCCCACTTGAGGACAGGTGTCCACAGGCCATCTACCTCACAGATCTGTACCAGGGTCTGTGACAGGAACTCCAGCCTCTGTCATGGGGCAGTATTTCCATGCGGGGGGGACACACAGCTAAGTCACAGAATCCAGTAAAGTAACACGCTACAAGGATGGCCTCACCCCAGCTCAGATCATACTCAGTGGCCCCAGCCCAGCAGGAGACAGAACTCACTTCTTAGCTTTGGCGCTGTTGGGATAATCCACCACCATTCCTCCCGTGAACCCTGCCTTCATGGCCTGTGCAGTGATGAGCTCCAGCTGGCAGAGAGAGAACACGCTGTCAGGAACTGTCCAGCCATCACCAGGCCGGTAATATACAGCACAGTACCCGAGGCTTAGCCAGCAGCTAGCAGTGCACCTTACTGCAGGGTCTAGCCGGGCTAGGGCTCTCCAACAGTGGGATCACCCCCACTTTCATAGCAACCCCTAAACCTAACCCTCAGGCAGCGATCCCCCCAGAAACCATTCTTTGGTTGTATTTATTTTAACTCCTCTCTCCGTTCCCCACCCCCGCTCTTATCGGTTGTGTTCATGCTCTACCTCAGTCTAACTGACAGTAAGTCTTCAGGGTAAGGTCAGCGGGTTGACTTTTAAGCACTACAAAGCTCTGGTGCTACATAACACCAAATAGCACTCAGCCCAGCTGCCTACCCATGGCTCCTCGAGGCTCTGGCTTTTCACCAGTACCAGTGAACAGACCACTGTGAAATACTGCAAACCAAACGCTCAACCCGGTTCTGCTGGGCCCTTGAAGCAGCCCATCCTCACACACCCATAGTAGCTCCCAACCCCCGCTGGAAACACAGCCAAGCTTTGAGCAGGGCTTCTCTGCTACATCCCTCCCTGCATCCCCTTTCCCCATCAGGCAAAGTCACCTGTTCTGAGTTTTCAGGGTACAACTGCAGGACGGCTCGGGATCCTCGGGCCTACAGGAAACAAAGGTGGTTATAAACCCCTGTTCCAGACCAGGCTTTCATACAGTCATAGAATCATAGAATGTCAGGGTTGGAAGGGACCTCAGGAGGTCATCTAGTCCAACCCTCTGCTCAAAGCAGGACCAATCCCCAATTAAATCATCCCAGCCAGGGCTTTGTCAAGCCTGACCTTAAAAACTTCTAAGGAAGGAGATTCTACCACCTCCCTAGGTAACGCATTCTAGTGTTTCACCACCCTCCTAGTGAAAAAGTTTTTCCTAATATCCAACCTAAACCTCCCACACTGCAACTTGAGACCATTACTCCTTGTCCTGTCCTCTTCTACCACTGAGAATAGTCTAGAACCATCCTCTTTGGAACCACCTCTCAGGTAGTTAAAAGCAGCTATCAAATCCCCCCTCATTCTTCTCTTCTACAGACTAAATAACCACAGTTCCCTCAGCCTCTCCTCATAAGTCATGTGCTCCAGCCCCCTAATCATTTTTGTTGCCCTCCGCTGGACTCTTTCCAATTTTTCCACATCCTTCTTGTAGTGTGGGGCCCAAAACTGGACACAGTACTCCAGATGAGGCCTCACCAGTGCCGAATAGAGGCGAATGATCACGTCCCTTGATCTGCTAGCAATGCCCCTACTAATACAGCCCAAAATGCCATTAGCTTTCTTGGCAACAAGAGCACACTGTTGACTCATATCCAGCTTCTCATCCACCGTAACCCCTAGGTCCTTCTCCGCAGAACTGCTGCCGAGCCCTTTGGTCCCTAGTCTGTAGCGGTGCACGGGATTCTTCTGTCCTAAGTGCAGGACTCTGCACTTGTCCTTGTTGAACCTCATCAGATTTCTTTTGGCCAAAACCTCTAATTTGTCTAGGGCCCTCTGTATCCTATCCCTACCCTCTAGTGTATCTACCTCTCCTCCCAGTTTAGTGTCATCTGCAAACTTGCTGAGGGTGCAATCCACACCATCCTCCAGATCATTAATGAAGATCTTGAACAAAACCGGCCCCAGGACCGACCCTTGGGGCACTCCACTTGATACCAGCTGCCATCCAGACATGGAGCCATTGATCACTACCCGTTGAGCCCGACAATCTAGCCAACTTTCTACCCACCTTATAGTGCATTCATCCAGCCCATACTTCTTTAACTTGCTGACAAGAATACTGTGGGAGACGGTGTCAAAAGCTTTGCTAAAGTCAAGGAACAACACATCCACTGCTTTCCCCTCATCCATAGAACCAGTAATCTCATCACAGAAGGCGATTAGATTAGTCAGGCATGACCTTCCCTTGGTGAATCCATGCTGACTGTTCCTGATCACTTTCCTCTCCTCTAAGTGCTTCAGGATTGATTCCTTGAGGACCCGCTCCATGATTTTTCCGGGGACTGAGGTGAGGCTGACTGGCCTGTAGTTCCCAGGATCCTCCTTCTTCCCTTTTTTAAAGATGGGCACTACATTAGCCTTTTTCGAGTTGTCCGGGACTTCCCCCAATCGCCATGAGTTTTCAAAGATAATGGCCAATGGCTCTGCAATCACAGCCGCCAACTCCTTTAGCACTCTCGGATGCAACGCATCTGGCCCCATGGACTTGTGCACGTCCAGCTTTTCTAAATAGTCCCGAACCACTTCTTTCTCCACAGAGGGCTGTCCACCTCCTCCCCATGCTGTGCTGCTCAGTGCAGTAGTCTGGGAGCTGACCTTGTTCATGAAGACAGAGGCAAAAAAAGCATTGAGTACATTAGCTTTTTCCACATCCTCTGTTACTAGGTTGCCTCCCTCATTAAGTAAGGGGCCCACACTTTCCTTGACTTTCTTCTTGTTGCTAACATACCTGAAGAAACCCTTCTTGTTACTCTTAACATCTCTTGCTAGCTGCAACTCCAGGTGTGATTTGGCCTTCCTGATTTCACTCCTGCATCCCCGAGCAATGTTTTTATACTCTTCCCTGGTCATTTGTCCAATCTTCCACTTCTTGTAAGCTTCTTTTTTGTGTTTAAGATCATCAAGGATTTCACTGTGAAGCCAAGCTGGTCGCCTGCCATATTTACTATTCTTTCTACACATCGGGATGGTTTGTCCCTGTAACCTCAATAAGGATTCTTTAAAATACAGCCAGCTCTCCTGGACTCCTTTCCCCCTCATGACAGGTTTCAGAGTAACAGCCGTGTTAGTCTGTATTCGCAAAAAGAAAAGGAGTACTTGTGGCACCTTAGAGACTAACCAATTTATTTGAGCATGAGCTTTCGTGAGCCACAGCTCACTTCATCGGATGCATACCGTGGAAACTGCAGCAGACTTTCCACGGTATGCATCCGATGAAGTGAGCTGTGGCTCACGAAAGCTTATGCTCAAATAAATTGGTTAGTCTCTAAGGTGCCACAAGTCCTCCTTTTCTTTTTCCCCCTCATGTTATTCTCCCAGGGGATCAGTTCCCTAAGGGAGTCAAAGTCTGTTTTTCTGAAGTCCAGGGTCCGTATTCTGCTGCTCTCCTTTCTTCCCTGTGTCAGGATCCTGAACTCAACCATCTCATGGTCACTGCCTCCCCGAGTCCCATCAACTTTTGCTTCCCCTACTAATTCTTCCTGGTTTGTGAGCAGCAGGTCAAGAAGAGCTCTGCCCCTAGCTGGTACCTCCACCACTTGCACCAGGAAATTGTCCCCTACAGTTTCCAAAAACTTCCTGGATTGTCTGTGCACCGCTGTATTGCTCTCCCAGCAGATATCAGGGTGATTGAAGTCTCCCATGAGAACCAGGGCCTGCGATCTAGTAACTGCCGTGAGTTGCCAGAAGAAAGCCTTGTCCACCTCATCCCCCTGGTCCAGTGGTCTATAGCAGATTCCCAACACAACATCACCCTTGTTGCTCACACTTCTAAACTTAATCCAGAGGCTCTCAGGTTTTTCTGCAGTTTCATACTTGAGCTCTGAGCAGTCATACTGCTCTCTTACATACAGTGCAACTCCCCCACCTTTTCTGCCCTGCCTGTCCTTCCTGAACAGTTTATATCCATCCATGACAGTACTCCAGTCATGTGAGTTATCCCACCAAGTCTCTGTTATTCCAATCACATCATAATTCCTTGACTGTGCCAGGACTTCCAGTTCTCCCTGGTTCTTTCCCAGGCTTCTTGCATTTGTGTATAGGCAGTTGAGATAACTCGCTGATCGTCCCTCTTTCTCAGTATGAGGCAGGAGCCCTGCCCTCTCGCACGCTCCTCTTCATGCTTCCTCCCGGTATCCCACTTCTACACTGACCTTAGGGCTTTGGTCTCCTTCCCCCAGTGAACCTAATTTAAAGCCCTCCTCACTAGGTTAGCCAGCCTGCTTGCGAAGATACTCTTCCCTCTCTTCGTGAGGTGGAGCCCGTCTCTGCCTAGCACTCCTCCTTCTTGGAACACCATCCCATGGTTAAAGAATCCAAAGCCTTCTCTCCAACACCACCTGTGTAGCCATTCGTTGACTTCCACGATTCGACGGTCTCTACCCAGGCCTTTTCCTTCCACGGGGAGGATGGACAAGAAGACCACTTGCGCCTCAAACTCCTATATCCTTCTTCCCAGAGCCACGTAGTCTGCAGTGATCCGCTCAAGGTCATTCTTGGCAGTATCATTGGTGCCCACGTGGAGAAGCAGGAGGGGGTAGCGATCCGAGGGCTTGATGCGTCTCGGCAGTCTCTCTGTCACATCATGAATCCTAGCTCCTGGCAAGCAGCAGACTTCTCAGTTTTCCCGGTCGGGACGGCAGATAGATGACTCAGTCCCCCTGAGGAGAGAGTCCCTGACCACCACCACCCGCCTCCTTCTCTTGGGAGCGGTGGTCGTGGAACCCCCAACCCTAGGACAGTGCATCTCATGCCTTCCAGTCGGCCAAGTCTCCTTCTGCTCCCTTCCCTCAGATGTATCACCTAGTCCACTCTCCGCATTAGTACCTGTGGAGGGAACATGAAAACGGTTGCTTACCTGTATCTTACCTGTATCTGCTGGTACGTTGCTGTGTCCCCTAGCACACAGTCTCCCAGCCTAACATGGCATGATCTGAACTGGGAGTTCCTGTTAATGGTGCATGGACATTACTACCCACTAGAGCCAGAATAGCCTGCTAGGGAATGTCACCTGAATGAGGACATCCTCTCCCTCGACATTCTGGGAGAAGGAAGGGGTGGCTGGCTGGCTGGCAAGGCACCACTTATCAAAACAGAATAAAGGGTCAAAAAACTCACAGTTCCAGGGTAACTGCACCTGTTTCCCCCTCCAAGATCCATCAAGGGCACGCAAAAGTTTCCGTCTCTCTCAGGCAGAGACCCCCGTCTCTCTCCCTCAGCAGGGTTTTTCCAGGCTGCACAGTTCACTGCCTACACTGGGATATTCCTAGCAAGCCAGATGCCTAAACAGGCCAGCGTCTGCGCTTTACTTTCATTCCAAAGGCTCGGAACAGCATATTTACCAGGAGTTACAAGTTACCACGCAGCTCTTTCTAAGCAAGCACCATTTATTCTGACATTACAGAGAAAATATATTAAAACAATAGAAGAACCTACACACATGCTAAAAAGTTTACCAGACGTCACCCCAACTCCAACCTTGGGCTCTGGTTGGAGTTAGACCTTCACAGTGGGGGTTTCACTGTGGTTACAAGTTCAGAACGGTCTCACATTCAGAACCGTCTCACATTCAGAACCAGAACCGAGACTGGGCCATTCAGCTGCTTCTTTATTCAACCTGGGCCTTCCTGGGTAATTAGCAGACAATGATCCACTCCTCCAAGCACAGCTTCAGAAGGCTGGGGTTTTGCATAACTGACAGTGGGAAATTTGCATGAATCTCTTCCTGGGGAATCCCCAGGAAATCCCCTTATTGTCCCAAGCATCCACCCTTGTCTGGCACATTTTCAATACAATCCTTGAGCTCCCAGGCCCCACATCACATCTCCCCCGAGAGAGGTTACATACAATCCCACTCACAATACAGTTAATACAATAAGGTTTTTCAAGGACATTGCAGGAAATGGCCATATCTGTCACTACTTACCAAGGCAGAATAGAGGGTTGAGAAGAATCGATACAGGCGTTTTGGGGGACTGTGTGTCTTCTTATCAGCGTTACAGAGCCACTGCACTGCAGAAATACTGAAAGAGAATACGTGACCTAAGGGACACTGAGCCACCAAGCCTCCCATGTGGGCAACCGAACCACATTCTTTAACAAAGACGCAAGTCCCCTAACGTCCTCCTTCTACCAGTGTCCCTCGTACCTATTCTATAGTCCAAGATAGTATGTGACGTACTGCTGTGCTCAAGACAACTACTGCGTTTGCTTCATCAGTGCACTGCTTCCTACTTTTTAGGAGCAAAGATTTTGTATAAGCCCATTCTAAAGAGATGCTGTCTAGCTCAGGAGGTCACATATTTGACTTGCAAGTCTGACCCACTTGGTGTACTTATCGGTCAGATCTAGATTCTGCAGAATGCAAGCTTTCATTACAACAGAGTTTCTAGTCCTTATGGATCATAACTGGTTAAAAAATCTTCCAGATTTGAGTGGATGTAGTGCAACCTTAGACCACTGAAGACAGGAGTGCTGAGAGAGAGATTTATAGAAATAGTGGGAGTCACTCTGGAGCCCAGCAACGACACCTTAAGGGCATTCGACAATAACCAGAGTCCATAATTGTGGGTGATGCTGTGTGAGGAAGTGGCAATTTCCTGTAGTATTATGGATCCTGTATGTGCCTCAGTTTCCTCCCGTACCTTCCACTGCTATCCAGTGGGGGCTCAAAGGCTAAGTCTGTTCTTGGGGCAGCAGGAGACATGCGGGGGGGAGGTGTCTCATCTCGCTGCCTAGGCGCAATGAATTTTAAGGCACTGTCTGGAACCTGCTGAAATCAATCCATAACAATCGAGAATCCCAAAGAGGCAATTAGAAGCCCCAGTGACCAGACAATTCACACCTAGCAAACAACCATCAAGAGGAAGGAAGTTTTTCCCCCACCCCTCCTCAGCAGCAGGGAAGCTGAGCAGAGGCCAGCTCCAGAAACAAGGGACTGAGAGGTACCAGGCAGGAAATAAAGAGTAGCTTTTGGGACAGGCTGTACTGCTATCCCCGTGGAGGGACAAAGGGACTGAGAGTCTGAAATGGAATCTGGAGCAGCTTGGCTGGCGGGTTGCTCTGGCCTGGACAGATGGACTATGTCATAACCTTGATTTCTCTGTGCTAACCTAAGGACTCCCGACGCTGCGTTCCAGGTGACTAGTAAACCCCACTCGCTTTGAAAATGCTGCCTGGTGTCACTGCAAATACCTGCTGAGGTGCAGTAGTCCCTGAACAGTGTAAAAGTGTGACCAGGAGTCCAGCGCACTGGGCAGAGTGCGTGGTGTGAATCACAAGTGCTGGACCCAGGAGCACGTCAGAGGCAGTGAGCCTAAGCTGAAGGCAGTGAGGCCCTTCGGGGATCTGGCACACCAAAGGGGTTCCTCCAACAGACTATTTAAAAGCTGGGGTATAGCACAGGTCCTATGGATCTGTGACACGCTGAATGTAACATCAGCATTAACTAGCGAACTGGTTATATACTTGGCCAAACCACCCATTAGTGTCAGTGGGAGCCCGTCTGCGGCTCAGGGGTTCTGACCCTTCCCATTCCCGCCCCCCAAATGAGCAGCATGCCCATGATCTAGTTTTTTATGCCATGCTCAGCACTGGTATTCATCACCTTCTGCTAGCCTTAGTTATCCGTGACTCTCAGCCATTCCTCGGTTTTTGGATAAGCAGTTCCCCTGTTTTCACAGTCCAGTATTATGAGAGTCAAAGGTAATTTTCCAGCAGCTGCTCCTAATTACGGGAAGAAGCATCCCTAATTCAAAGCCCATCCAAATTTCAACAACCTGCTATGGAGTGCAAGCTGGTAAGGCCAGCTAACAGGGCCAGGCTTGTGTTGTGTCCTCCTGCTAGGCAGAGCCTCTGGGAACTAAGATAAGAAAGCAAAGAGGAATGTCTTACCTGACACAGCCATCAAACATGCCTGGCCTGAAGGGAATCCCCTGCCCCATGTCTGCAAGGATGAGGTCTCCTTCCACCTCTCTCTCCACAGCAACATCTGCACAGCACAAAAGACAAGCCAGTCCGATGGCCACAAGTCTTCAGATCAGTACCCAGGGCTGCATTTTATACATTTCTAACCCTCCCACTGCACATATGTATTGTCTGCCCACTAGGGCATGCAGTGGAAGAGAATCTACTTACCCAGCATGGCAGAACTGATGTCCATCCCAACCCAGTGATGTCCCTCTTCAGAGATGTAATCTCCACTCAAACCAGAGCCACAGCTAAAAGCGAAAGAACAGGTCTTAGAAAATGCAGATTCATCCCAATATCCAGCCCTTTCACTGACATGTCTGGAAACCCTTTCAGGACAATGATCTTCTCTTTCCTCTCTCTGAGCAGCAACTGTGGAAATTAAGTACTGAGACACCCTCGTTCTTTCTAGATATTTGAGCCATGATTGTCATCATCATGATATTCCTGGAACTCCACAAAGCCGCAGGAGGAGCTCCACTGTAATTTGTAGTACAAACCTAAAACTCTTACACTGACAATTCAGAGCTCTGTCCTTCTCTAACTACAACATGACGGCCAGTGAGGTGAGGGGGGAGAGCAGCATCCTTACAGTTCTATATGGCTCATATGCAGGGTCTTACCCGACATCCAGAAGGAAACATGGCCGATCCTTGGGCAAGCCCAAAAGCTCCACGGCCCGCTCTGACATCTGCGACTGGATCTCAATCATTCGAGAGCTGAGGAGAAAGAATCCTCCTTTATTCCCATGAAAGCAATAATGAGAGATCTAAGTGGCTTTTACTACCCAGAATAAAGTCACAGCCAAGGTAACCACTGGCTCAGACCTTAGTTATTCATGAAAACAATGGAGTATTTGGAAGCACAAGGAAAGGCCTAAGATGGGAACCAGCCTTGTGGTGGGAATTTCTGCATTCCTTTGGGGGCCCAAAGGCTCTCCACACAATTACTAAGACTGAAGTCAGGCACCCAGCTCTGCCTGCTCTACCATTCCTCAGGAATTAACAGCTAAGAGCACAACGGCAGATCTTATGCTCACTATAGGGAGAGCACAACTGGAGAACTCTTGCTAGGAGCAGATACTACTGCACAGGACACAACTCCACACCCATTAGGGTCAGCAGAGCAGCTGCACCACAGACCTGCTCGAGCTCTTTCACCATTTAATTTAGTTCAGATTGCATTTCCTGGTGCACATTGACACTTTTTGGGCGCACATAGCAACCACCACTCCAGATGCTCCAGCCATCAGCACAGAGATGGGACAAGACCCATCCTCACCACCTTCATTGGGGACTGGCCATGTACACCACAGCAAGGGAGCAAGCATGCAAGGGAAGCACCCTTACTTCTGGGAGTATTTCCAGGCCTCGGCCACATCGTAAAACTGCAAGAAAAACAAACAGCGTGAAACTTGGAGAACGATGGGGCTGGGCCCCACAGTGCCCTCCCCCACTATGCCCTCCAGGGGCAACCACCACGGGCCGAGACTTCCGCCCGCCCCGCAGATCAAGCCGCGCCCCCGAGCCCCACAGAGCCCCGCCCCCCGGGGCCTCCGAGCCCAGCACCGCCCCGCCCACACACAGGCCCAGAACCTCCCCCCGAGCCGGGCCCCACAGAGCCCCGCCCCGTTCCGCTCCCCCCGAGCCCAGCCCAGCCCCGCCCCCGCACAGGCCCAGAACCTCCCCCCCGAGCCGGGCCCCACAGAGCCCCGCCCCGCCCCGCTCCCCCCGAGCCCAGCCCCGCCCCGCCCCCGCACAGGCCCAGAACCTCCCCCCCGAGCCGGGCCCCACAGAGCCCCGCCCCGCCCCGCTCCCCCCGAGCCCAGCCCCGCCCCGCCCCCGCACAGGCCCAGAACCTCCCCCCGAGCCGGGCCCCACAGAGCCCCGCCCCGTTCCGCTCCCCCCGAGCCGAGCCCCGCCCCACCGGGCCGCCGAGCCGAGCCCAGCCCCGCCCCGCCCCCGCACAGACCCAGAACCTCCCGCCCCGCCCCCGCTCCCGCTCCCGCTCCCCGGGCAGCCACCACCAGGGTCTCACCCCCACCCAAGCCTCGCGGATCCTGACTCACCAGCTCCGGGGGCCCGCGATGCTCAGGCCTCCGGCCGCTGCCCGCCATGGTCGCCCTGTGACATCATCTGCCCGCGCCGCGGCGCAATCTGTGGGGCCGGAGCGCCGGCAGTTCCCATTGGTCGAGGCAGCCGTCCGTCCGCGCGTCTGTCTTCACTCCATTGGCCGGGACCTCTGGCACCCACCCCTCACAGGGAGCGCTCCCATTGGCGCGCCGCGGCGGCGGCCCGGAAGTCGGGCTAAGGAGAGCGGTGCCGGCGGCTGCGCGATCCGCCCCTCCCCCCCCCGGCATGGCGCCGCCTCCCGCCGCTCGCGGCTGGCCCCGCGCGCTCCTGGGCCGCCTGCTGCCCCCCCGGCCCCTCGGCCGCCGCGGCGCCGCCGCCGGCGGGGGGGGCCCGGCGCGGCCCGCGGGGCTGTACGAGCTGCTGGGCGTGCCGGCCAGCGCCACGCAGGCGCAGATCAAGGCGGCCTACTACGAGCAGAGCTTCCGCTGCCACCCGGACCGCAACGCGGGCAGCGAGGAGGCGGCCGCGCGCTTCACCGCCCTGCACCAGGCCTACGCCGTGCTGGGCAGCGCGGCCCTGCGCCGCCGGTACGACCGGGGCCTGCTGAGCCGCGAGGAGCTGAGCTCGGCCGCGCGGCCCGCGCCCGCCGCGCGCCCGGCGCCCGGCTCGCGCAGCGCGGCCCCGCGGCGCGCCCCCGCGGCGCCCGTCTTCGACTTCGACGCCTTCTACCGCGCCCACTACGGCGAGCAGCTGGAGCGGCAGCGGGCCCTGCGCCGGCGGCGGCGGCGGCAGGAGGCGGCGGCGGCCAAGGGGTGGCGCGGGGACCGGCTGCCGGAGCTCTCGCTCGCCCTGCTCCTGCTCTGCGGCCTGGCGCTGCTGGGCCGCACGAAGTGAAGCGCGGGGCGCCCGGACCGGGCCCAGGGTTCGCTCGTGGCGCTGGACAGGCCGCGGGGCGAGGGCGGCTGCGGAGAGCTCCGGGGCCGGGTCCCGAGCGGGCCTTGTGCTGTGTCAGGACGCCCTAGGGAGCCGAACTGCCATTAAAGTAGCTTCACAAATCGGTTTGAGATCCCCATTCCTTCGGTGCGGGTAACGCCCCTTCCCGCTCAGGAGTCGCCGCTGACATTTGCCTGCCCAGAGCAGCGTTCAGGGATCTGCCGTTCACCTGCCAGCGCTGGAGATGTTTCTGCCATTCACCGCAGGAGAGAGGATGCAGCTTTCTGCTGGGGTTTAGGTGTTAATAAATTTATCTTCCCTGAACTCTAGTCCTTTAATGGGTATACAGTGCATTTCAGCTCACCTTGCAGGCTCAAATCTTGCAGTCTCATCTAAACAGAGTCCTCTGGACCTGCCCACTTCAGGTATGTCTACACTTAAAATGCTAAAGTGACACAGCTGTGCCATTTTAGCCCTTCAGTGTAGTCCGGGGGTGGGCAAACTATGGCCCGGGGGCTGCATCCAGCCCTCCAGATGTTTTAATCCGGCCCTCGAGCTCCTGCTGGGGAGTGAGGTCCAGGGCTTGCTCCACTGTGCGCGGCTTGCAGAAGCAGTGGTATGTTACTCCTCCGGCTCCTATGCATAGGGGCAGCCAGGGGGCTCCGCACGCTGCCCTCACCCAAAGCACCACCCCAACAGCTCCCATTGGCCGAAAACTGCAGCTAATGGGAGCTGTGGGGGCAGCATGCAGAGCTGCCTGGCCGCACCTCTGTGTTGGAGCCAGATGGGGGACATGCCATTGCTTCCAGGAACTGCTTGAGGTAAGCACTGCCCGGAGCCTGCGTCCCAACCCTCTCCCACGCCCCAACCCTCAGTCCCAGCCCTGATCCCCCTGCTAACAGCTGAACCCCTCAGTCCCAGCCCAGAACACCCTCTTTCATCGCCAGCCCCACCCCAGAGCCGGTACCCCCAGCAGCAGCCCTCACCCTCCCCCCGACCCCCTCCCGCACCATGAACTCCTCATTTGTGGCCCCACCCCAGAAACCACACCCCCAGCCTGAATCCTCATCCCCTCCTGCACCCCAACCCCCAATTTAGTGAGCATTCATGGCCCGCCATACAATTTCCATACCCAGATGTGGCCCTCGGGCCAAAAAGTTTGCCCACCCCAGTGTAGACACTATGTACGCTGACAGGAGGGATTCTCCCATCGGCGTAGGTAATCTGCCTCCCCGAGAGGCATTAGCTAGGCTGATGAAAAAATTATTGTTGACCTAGTGCTGCCTACACCAGGGTTAAATTGATATAACTATGTCTCGGGGTGTGGGGTTTTCACACAGAGATGTAGCTATTCTGATGTAAATTCCTAGTGGAGAGGGTGAGCCTAACTAGGCAAAGACTGGGTCCTCCCTATTTTTTGCACTTTATGAATGAGTGAATTGTATTCTCACTGGTGCTGTAGAGTAGTTTGGTGTGGGTCTTGAGTTATCAAGAACTGACAGGTGCTATCTCCACAATGTATAGGCAGCTGGTTGCTTTTACCACCTCTCTGATGTACTGTATTTCAGGGCTGCCGGTGTGTGACTCTCAGAGCTGGGCATGCTGCCTTTATTATTGGCTCCCCTGCCTCTCTTGGAGACCTGCCTGACTTCTGGAACAGTTGGTTCCAAAGGTTTTTGGGTTCAATAGAACAGAGCCCAGGATGGTGGTAGCAAATATTCTGTCTTGTGGTGTGAGGCCACATGCCTGGATCTACATGTAGAGAAGGGTTCTCGTCTCCCCACTTCTTAGGGTCTTCCATAAACACCATTCTATGTTTAAGCTGCTGGGAGCCTGCCTTGTCTAGGGCTGATGGGGTACTTGGCTCCAACCTGTCTTCCCAGAGGGCTTCATAACTTGAAGGCGTAGCATTCTCAGTACTGAACTTCATTGTATCCTGATCTGTGTAAGAGGTGTTCAGACAAATAGGGATATATTTATATGTAATGAAATGTTGAGGTGGTTTAAGACAGAGAATGTTGTGGTGGAAGCAACCTTCCTTCTGCAGGTGAGGGTTTTACTTGTGTTTCACTTGGACTTTGCCACGCAGTATGGAGTGAATGAAACCCAAAGCTGAAAATGGATATCACAAGGTAGCTGTTGGCATGCCAAGGATTTCACTTTCATACTTTCTTACTTGCATTGGATCCACTGTGCTTGGCTCATAGCCTTGAGCACTGAATCCTAGCCCCCTACCTCTCGCTGCAGGAAATTTTAATTTTCCTGTAAATAGAGAAATGCATAGAACAGATCCCCGAAGCAACCACAGAATCCAGAGATGCCTTCTGTATGATCAGAGGAACACTTGCCCCATAGGTGAGTTTTCTGCCCCAAGGAGTGTTGTGAGGTAAAAGGACTACTTTCCTTGGCCCTCTCTTATTTGGTATTAGCCACTGAGACCATGTCTACAGCCGGATCAGTGGGTAGTGATTGATCTATCGGGGATCAATTTATCATGTCTAGTGTAGACACGATAAATCGATCCCTGATTGCTCTGCCGTCAACTCCACCAGGGTGAGAGGCAGAAATGGAGTCGACGGGGGAGCAGCGGCTGTCGATCCCGCGCCGTGAGGATGCAAAGTACATGATTCTAAGTCAATCTAAGATACGTTGACTTCAGCTACGCTATTCTCATAGCTGAAGTTGCGTATCTTAGATCTATTTCTCCCCCCCCCCCCCCCCAGTGTAGACCAGGCCTAAATCTAATCCACCTTCCAGGCTGGGGGGGAGGGGTTCTAGGTCCCAACATTGTCATTTTATAAGAAGGTGCTAGGAGTCTGGGATGGAGGCCTGGATTAGATTCTATGGAGTGAGAGATTTGGAGTGCTGGGACTTCCGGACCTACTTCTGTTAATGCTCCTTCTCAACTGAGGCTTTTCTAGCTGCATTTGGACTGCAGTGTGGACTTGATGCTGTATTTCAGGCCAAATCTGATTAGGATTTGGCCTTCTAATTTGACAACTCTCCCAGTCATAGCATCTGGAAGAGGCCAAGTCAGAGGAGGAAGAATAAGATGGAAATGTGATGGAGAAGTAGGTTGGGGAAACTGCTCCTCCCTCTGATCCCCAGTGCAAAGGCTTATGGGCTCCTCATGCAGTCCTGCTCAGGGCCCTTTGAGTGGGCGCTTCTTTTATGGCTGCGGAATGCCCAGTATCTGGGGGTCTTGGGTCTGCCCCTGCACACAGACTCATTGCACTGTTGTGAGCTCTGCTGCTGGGCTGTGCCATGGTTCTGGTATGGTGCAGTGCGGACCGTTCACACTGATGTCTGGGAGGATCCTGCAAAGAACGTTTTTGTTCCTAATTCCTTTATTGTTACCATCTTCAAATGGAGTAGGAATAAACCTGCGCAACTATGCCAGACGTGCACTGCTCCTGGCACACTCAGGGTGGAAGAGGGGCCAGGTTATTCCACGGAAGTAGACACATCTATGAATTCATATACGCTTGGCGGCTAGCTGGGTCTGATTCAGGGGTGGAATATATTGCGACAAATCACTGTATTAACCCACGTGCTCTAAGAATATGCCTTAGAACGAGGACTTGTGATTTAACTTGGATTTAAACCTGGAGAGTGGTCAGTTTAGATGAGCTATTACCAGCAGGAGAGTGAGTTTGTGTGTGTATGGGGGTGGGGGGGATGTGAGAAAACCTTGATCTATGCAGGAAATAGCCCGACTTGATTATGTAAAGAGTTGTCACTTTGGATGGGCTAGCACCAGCAGGAGAGTGAATTTGTGTGGGGGGGTGGAGGGTGAGAAAACCTGGATTTGTGCTGGAAATGGCCCACCTGTTGATCACTTTAGATAAGCTATTACCAGCAGGACAGTGGGGTGGGAGGAGGTATTGTTTCATGATTTCTGTGTGTATATAAAGTCTGCTGCAGTTTCCACGGTAAACATCTGATGAAGTGAGCTGTGGCTCACGAAAGCTCATGCTCAAATAAATTGGTTAGTCTCTAAGGTGCCACAAGTACTCCTTTTCTTTTTGCGAATACAGACTAACACGGCTGTTCCTCTGAGACTTGTGAAAGGAAAATGCAGCTGTTGCTGATACTTCACTAGTTCCAATAGTTAATTACCCTCACTGTTATAATGTACACCTTGCATCCTGTCTGAATTTGCCAAGCTTCCACTTCTAGCCATTGGATATCACTGTAAGGCAGGTTTTCTAATGCTTTAATCATTCTTGTGGCTCTACTCTGAACCCTCTCTAGTTTACCAACATCCTTGATTTCTGGCTACCAGAACTGGACACAGTTTTCCAGCAGGGGTCGCATCTGTGCCAAATACAAAGGTAAAATAACCTCCCTACTCCTACTCAAGATTCCTTATTTATTCATCTTGGGATCCCCTTAGCCCCTTTGGGTCAGAGTCACTCCTTCCCAGGATAGGGCCCCCCCATCATGTAAATCTGGCCTATATTCTTTGTTCCTAGATATGTATGTTTACATTTAGCTGTATTAAAATGCATAGTTTGCTTGCATCTGGCTTACCAAATGATCCAGATTGCTCTGAACCTGTACTCTTCATTATTTACCATGACCCCAATTTGTGTCATCTGATGACTTTATCAGTGGTAAGTTTGTTTTCTTCCAGGTCATTGATAAAAATGTTAAATAGCACAGCCCAAGAACTGACCATTGTGGGACCCCCGTTAGAAAAACACCTGTTTGGTCGTGATTACCCATTTTACCATTTTGAAACCTATCAGTTAGCCAGTGTTTAATCCATTTAATGTGTGTGGTGTTAATTTGCTGTTCTAGGTTTTCAGTCAAAATGTGCAGTACCAAGTCAAATACCTTACAGAAGTCTAAGCTTATGATGTCAACACTATTACATTTATCAGCCATCCTTGTCACCTCATCAAAAAAATAAATCAAGTTTGTGTGATAGGATCTATTTTCCATAAACCCATCTTGATTGACATTAATTATATTATCCTCCTTTAATTTTTATTGAGTCCCATATCAGCCACTCCATTATCTTGCCTGGGATCAATTAGAGATTGACAGGCCTATAATTACCTGGGTCTTTCAATTTACCCTTTTGAAATATTGGCACAACATTAGCTTTTTTCCGGTCTTCTGTACTTTCCCCTGTGTTCTAAGACTTACTGAAAATCAACATGAGCAGTCCAGCAAGCTGCTCAATCAGCTCTTTTAAAACTCTTGAATGGACTTGCTGATGTAAAAATGTCTAACTTTAGTCGTTGCTCTTGAACATCCTCCTGCTATACTAGTGGAATGGAAAGAGTTTTATCATTGTATAATGAAACTACATCTAT